ACTGTAGAGATGTGTCAAACTTGAGGCCCGTGGGCCAAATTCAGCCCACCGTAGCTATTTATGTGACCCCTCTGGACTCTTGGGGGTCACATAAATTGAACTTTAAGATAACATCTGTGAGCTTAGATATTATTTTTCCATTTGTATAGAACCTAATTACAGCATCGCAAAGAGATGCTAAGAATATTTTAAGAAGTAAACTTAAAATGTAATACGTAGTTTTATTATTACTGCCACAACAAGACCTTTGAGGACATTCACGATCTTGATGCTGCCTGAAATGCTGATTGATAACTTAACAGATGTTTAACATCATGTTAATTTTTTAAAGGAAAAAATTCTAAAAAATATCAAACCAACCTTATGTGAGAAAGTGCTTTTCCTAACATGTAATACTCCTCTGGTGGGGTAAATGTTGGCCTGGTTTTGGGGCCGGTGCGCCCAAAGGCCCCTGGCCCGGAGCTTTTGATGCATCGGTGGGCCTTGGGGCCCCTCAAGCTCACAGAGAGGTTTTGGAGGGATGGTGGTGTTGCTGTTTCTGTGGTATTGGCCCGAGAGAGCTGTTACTAGGCTGGACTCTGTCTTTGTTGCTTGGCTATATTGTGAAGAATGCAGCCTCAAACTGCAAGTGTTGTACTTTCTGTTTATCTAAGGGCCGCTCTGCTCCATGATAGGCACGCCGCATTTATTTTAGTTACTGACACCTGACAGTTGTCCACCAGAGAAAAGGAAATGATTAGAAAGTGTTTTTTTTTCTATACAACTGTGGAGAATGGATGAAAAATGCGGAGCTCGGCGCCATCACATCAATGAAGATGGACAAACATTAAAGGGGGGCATTGACAGGCTGACAGCCTGGTGAAGCAGAAAAAATCAGTTCAGATATCTGGATGCTCATCTGTGATTTTTTTCTCCTTTTCTTTTCATCCATTTTACTCCACTGGCATCATAATATTTATTTATGTTACAGAGGACACCAAAACAGCTAAAAAGTTCCAAGTTAAAGCTGTGCTCTGTGCAGTTCTTTATGGGATTCTAATTTAAATCCTCAGGACTCCTTACATGAAGTGATAAACCCGTAATAAAAAAATTCTGACGTTCCCTTAGTTCTCTTCCATACAGTCATACAATTTGACCTTGGTGTGTTAAACTACCAGCAATATAACCTGTCAAAACTAAGAGGTGATGATATAATCTAGGTGTCCTTCCCCAGCTGGCCTGGTGATAACTTCCCCAAGGTTTGTTTTTTTTTTTTTTTTGTGCCTTTATATTGTTCACATCTAGGGCCAAAGCCTGTTAATTCTGCTTTATGACCAAAATGGAGAACTCTAATTTTCAATTTTCAGATCACTTCATTCTGTAAAAGCCTGTAAAACACATCTCATGTAAGAAGTGAGACTTTTATTGGAAACTTTTCTCTTTGAGTACGTGTAACAGCAGCACTTTCTGTCGCATATCTCCATTGTGCCAGATGATGTGGAATATCGAACATACCAGGCTTTTACCGTGCTCTACAAAAAAGTACTTTCTAGTAACAGATTTCTGCTGCTCTTGCTGTTTTGTCACACTAAAACGCTTCAATTCATTATAAGTACAACAATCACCAAATGACTTAGATTTACAAGAAAATAAACCAAACTATCCCCATGTGAATAAGTAACTGCCCCCCAACAAACTCGGTTTGTTGAGTCCTTTACATCCACTGTGGGGGAATTTTGCCATTCGCTTTTTTTTTTCTTTTTTTTTTTACTGTTTTTGTTGTACATGCTAAATCCTGTTCCAAACATCCCACAGTATGTCAAATGGATTTCAGTTAGAACTTTGACTAGGCTCAAGGGCTCGACGTTTCCCTTTGTACTTCTATACAGGTTCTGTTTGACCTTTGATCCAAAATAAGTCGATACTCACGATGATGTCATGATTTGATAGGGGAGCGGTAACTATCTGATACTGAAGCTGGCTTGATGATCTGAAACATTAAGTTGTGCTAAAAGCAGAATCCATAAGGGGCAATTAATTTTCCAGAGGACTGTATTCCCATGCTAGGCTGGAAAAAGCCTTGCTCTGTGAAATGTCGTTTTTTTTTTTTCAAGGTTATTTTAACAACGCCTGGTGTTGATGATTTCACTCCTGCCAAGCTAGACACTGCCTGTAGGCGTCAGCTTTAGGACCCGCACTGACGTCTAGTCTAACACAGCAAAAAATACCCTGAGCCATCACGGTTGTTTGTGATAATGTAAGAGTTTATTAAATAGCTTTTCCTCCACATTATCAGATGGATATCAATTCTTTGACCTAAAATTGCTTTCTTCATGCACATTAAACGAGCCCAGTTGGAACAGAAAGGCTCATTTATACCATAATGAATGTCTTACTGAAATTGAATGGCACTGATTTTTGCTGATTATGCTTTTGCCTGGAAAATGTTTCTCTGCTTCGCTTTCTGAGCCAATAGCTGTCAGTATAATTCACATGAGTCAGGTGTAACGAGGAGCAAAAAAAAGAAAAGGAATGAAAAAAGAGGGCTTATGTTCTCTATTTTGTACTAAAGGAAGTGTGGGAGAGGACAATGCTGTGCTGCATGCAGACACAATTTATCAGTTGTCAGTGGGTGTGTGAACAGTTGGGTTTAAGAACAGATTTCAGTGTTGGACGCTTGGCGGAAGTTTGGGGATTTACAAGAAACGGCAGGATACTGTTACAGGACCAGGCCACGTATCTGGACTTTCATAGCAGAGCACAGTGTCAGCTTTGACCTGGAGCTAGTAATCTCAATCGACATTTTCCAGGATTGTCTGCAGGTTATGATTCTTTCCTTTCCTCCATGTTTCTTCGCAGGACTACAATGTGGCTTTCTTTTTTTTCAACCATTTTTTTTTTACTGTTCTGTCTTAATAAATGAAATCTAAACTTAATAAAAAAAAAAAGATTGTGATATAATTGCTCATCAATAAGACCAATAAAAAGGATATTAATGCCCGTTACGGTCAAGTTATGACCCACACATTATTCAGAGTGATGTATCCAGGCATAATAATGGAAAGTTTGTTTGAAGGAGAAAAGGAGGGGGGAAAAGCATAGTTATGTTAAATGGTATAGTTTGATATGTCTGTGGTGTTCTAGCACCATATTCAGATTTTTGGAAGAAACTGCATTTTTTTATTTTTTTTAATTAGCTGCACTTCAATCTACAAAAATAATAAAAACAAATGCGTCATATCACTTTAAGGGAAATAATCGACTTAATATTTGAGTTTCACTTGTTGAACTGGATTATTGAAACAGCTTCACGTTCTGTGGTTATATAGACTTGATAACCAACCAGTTGTCTGAATAGAAACTGTTAATAATGCATCAGTGTGCTAAGAATAATGCATAAATCGCAATACATTAATTTTAAAGTGTGTGATTATGAAGCCGGCAAATCTTTCCAATGTGTCAGCTTTAGGTTACTCTAATTTAAAAAAAAAAATAATAAAAAAAAAAAATGTCTGTATAGCACACCTGTGCTTTTGGTTGTAGTTAATATTTCTGCTGCCTTGAAATAATTTGCTACATGCATATTCAATGAACTTTTAATCTATATTTTTAATTAATTATATAACAACTGGTAAAGTTAAGCAGTCTGTGACAAGTTTGAATAGAAACATCGTCTAACCATCAGAGCATAAGGCGGCTGGATGGCTTCTCTGGCTTTTCACCTCAAATCCAAATAACTTCTTCAGTTCAGAACGTGCCTCTCATTTCAATTACTTACATTTCAATTCGATCATACACGAAAATTAAGTTGAAAATGGAAACTGGAAAAAAAACATTATCTAAGAAAGTGACGTATATTACACTGAGTTATTGACTTTGCAGCAATCTCATATTTAGCAGCAGTGGAATGGAATAACTCCTTAATATTGCAGCATTTTCTGATTTTCTGATTTTCTGATCCAGATGTCTGAATGACGACTTTTTTTTTCTGATCATGAACAACACTTTCAGTCCAACTTTGTGCTTTGTTATTTTGTTGCTTTTTTTTTTTTTACACCAGAACCAAACACAAAGTTGAGTTAAATTATAGTGTTCAAAAACACATTTCCTTTTACAAACAGCGACACAACTTATTCATTTAAATACCAAAAGCACAAAACGCTTCCTTCTGTGCTCTGTAGAAATTTGATGACATTTTGAAAGAACACCCTAAACAAGCAAAAGGAAAACACCTCAGATGTTTGCACCCTATGGCTGCAATCTTTCACTTGCTTTAAGATATAATTTGAACTTCACAGCTACACTTTTCCCTCTGCAGAACAATATACTCCCCAGGAACAATTTTTCCATCCTAACTCTGTCGGATGTGACACTGCCTGTGCAGGTCTTGTATTATAGTGTAAATACAGGTTTATTTATTTCTCATTTGTTTCTGGAACTGTTAATAGATTCTTATTTAGCCAGAGCGGAATAAGATAAAAAAGAAAATACATCCTGCTAACATTGCCAGGGGGCATATTTGACCTTTCTAAAGCCCTAGAGAGTTTCACTTTTTTTTTTTATTTACTTTGTTGAGACTTAATAAAATGACAAAAAGAGGGCTGCTTAGTGATCTGTGCAAAGCAAATGGCTAAAAGTCTCAAGTGGACTCTAAAGGCTCGAAGTAACGGTTTAATTCTGTTTCGGTTTCTCTGTGAATTTGTGGCAGTAACAGTGTTTTATTTGTTCATTCTTATTGGGGGGGGGGGGGGAAAGTGTTTGAAACCCAGTCAAGCAACTTGCATGAAGCAATACACAAATTCAGAGTAATCACCAGTCTCAATGAAAGAAGACAGTGTGAAGACAATGACTAATGAGATTATTTAGTGGCTCAGAAGTTACATTTTCATCCCTCTCCTCCCTTGCTTTTCAAGTCGCATTTGTCACACACTGAGCTGATATGACTATTTCCACATTTAGCCCAGCATGACTTGGCCCTTGAATGTTGTCTTGGAAACTAATGAGTGGCCGTCTGCCCACAGGAACCATGGTGGTGCAAGTGGCAGCCACAGATGCAGATGACCCGACTTACGGGAACAGTGCCAGGGTGGTCTACAGCATCATCCACGGGCAGCCGTACTTCTCGGTGGAGCCCAAGACAGGTAGGTGTAATTTCATCCCACCCTCTTGCAAGTCAGCACACACAATTGCTGTAAATGTCAGACAGTGCGGACATCTCTGTGTTTGTGAAGTAGGCTCGGCGAAGAAAGTGCTGTATTATGTTGTGTAATGATAAGGAAATCTACCTTCACGGTCATTTATCCACTTTTCACTAACGCCAAATAAAGTACATTTCAACAAATCGCAAGGTCAGTAGAAATTGCTATACTTTGTTCTGTTGTTGCCATTTTGATTGTTAGAGAAACCAACCTGTAGAGCTTTGAGCATTATTAAACATCTGCATCAGACAGCATATGGCTGTTGATTTGAAACAGATATGTATACATAATGTAGGATCAGTCTGGTTTTAAATCTCACACTATTAAGGAAGCTGGATGCCGCATAAGGTGCCCTTTTGTTCTACTTGAGCACCCGTCCCCCTGAATGTCTGATTACCACTGAACACTGTAGATATTAGCTTCTGTGTTCGTGCTACAACAGTTTCCACTGTGCATATGTTTGTGAATAAAGGTTTTAGTTGCTGTTTGATCTATTAAGTACCACAGTTATAAGTGTTTTTTGACGGGTCTCAAGTGTTTTAGCTGTTTGTGGACAGTTGTGGTCCACTGTACGTCTTTTGTGTTGTTACAAATAAATGTACATTACAAAATGAAATAAATATAAAAAGCAGTTTTTACATCTTAATTTGGTACATAGAGGGAAAAAACCTAACCAAACCAACCCAGCAAGATGTGAAGATGCAAATACTGTCATTGTTAAATCATAAATTACATCACATTAGCCACATTTGTTTTATAAAGCTGGGTTCAATTTAAATAACAGTGACTCATTTCTGATCACTGCCAGGTCTACAGAATCACATCAAGTAGAACCTGTCTGACAGCATAAAATTATTAAAATATATTTGTTTTTATGGGCACTTGAAGTCATTTGTGTATTTAAAAAGGGAAGAAGACACAGCCCTGAGGTGACTCTTTGATTGGTAACTATTATTTTCCTGCATAAGCCCTTACTGCTTGTGGCCCACATGGTAAAGGCTTTAAAGCTCCACTTCAAAGATTTCCATTTCTGCTTCACATTCACACATGGATGAAGGGACAGCATTGTGTCCACTTTATGACCTTGCCATCTTTAGCTGAATGCTGATTTGTGTTGTGTATCCTGGAATTGTTTTTGTGATTATTGTCTTTATATAAAATATATTACTACCAGAACAAAAACCAAGTGTGAGCATCACCAGTCAGTGTTTGCTTTCCCCCGTTTTGTGTCAGTAGTTTTCATAAAATCAGTGTCACCATGAACCAATTGCTTTTGTTTTTGTAATTTATTTTCATTACATTACAATGCATTACAGATAATAACTTAAATGCCAACTGTGGAAGCGCACACTTTACCCTGCAGTTAGATATTGAACATCTGTAGATGTAGCCAGTTTAAATAACACATTGTCATACTTATGATAACAGCTGTGAGAGCGGGAAAAAATTATACACTTGCACAGCTTTAAATGAGCTATTGAATGTAAAATCGGGCTTTTGTCTGATGCTGTATTTTGACTGCAAAATTAAGATGCTATTTAAATAATTTAAATACTGCACAGACCTGGAGAACATTTTTATGCTCCCATCATTATTTATAAAAAACCTAATTGATCAATATCTTGTTTTTCATTGTTAGTTGAAGCAAAAATATTTCTATCAAAGCTTAATAATCCACATATTAAAAAAAAAAATATTGAAGACCTGCCCTTCCTTTTTACTGTAACACATTTCCAGGTTTTTACTGGAAATCTACCTGCCATAAACCCAGCGCTCGACCATTCAGCCTGAAGGTTTGCATCCACCAAATTGATCAATATGAAATTGATTCAGCTAACATGTATTGTGATAACCCAATGTTATACAAAGTCTGCTATAAAATAAAGTTCAATCAGTTACTTTCAGAGGCCAAATACTTCCATTAATTGAATCTATTTGATTGTAATTTAACCTCAGTATGAACGCAGCCTCAGACGTTAGAGAACATTAAAGAACAAACAGCAGCATAAAGACAAAAGAAAAGAGCAGGCAGGGAGAAAGTTGTAGAGAAATTTAAGGCTGCCTTTATAAACCTCGCACACAGAAGTATGAAATTGATAATCTGAAAATTTTAAGAGCGTGTTGAAATTCCAGACCTACCAAGACACAGGCTTCCATCCAAAGTAACAGGCGAGGCAATGAAAGCATTAATCAGAGCAGCAGCCAAGAGGCCCATTTAAACTCTGGAGGACTCAGGTTTGAGGATCTATGGGCAAGAAAACCATTAGTTGTGCACTCTAAAATCCGGCCCTCTGTGCCAGAGTGGCAAGAAGAAAGCTGTAGTAGGAAGGAAGGCCTAAAGAAGCATGTTTGCGGTTTGCCACAATCCATTTAGACGACACAGCAAACACTTGAAAGTAGATGGTCAGGCCTGATGTGTTAGGTTCCGTGTTTCTGTGTGTTTATTTTTGAGTTTCTCTGTGTTCCTGTGAGTCTCTGTCCTGTCCTCCCCGTTGATTACTCCCCAGGTGTGTCTCGTTCCCTTACTTACCCCGTGTGTATTTAAACCCACCTGTTGTCTGTGTTCCTCGTCGGGTCCTTGTCTATCGTCGTTTGTTGTCGTAGTTCGCCAGTAGAACTGTAAAGTCCTGGTTTGTCTAACGTCTCAGTTTTTGTGTTACTTGCGCTCCAGTAGAACTGTTTAGTCCTGGTAGTGTCAGCTCTCGTGTCTAGTCCTGTGATTCAGTTGCTACCGGTACTTAGCTGTGTGCTAGTTTCTGCCGTGCTGCCTGTATGGACTGCTGAGCTTTATTTTCACCATTAAATTCATTATCTTCCCCATACCTGGGTTCTCAGCGTCTCCCCTCACCACTTCAACCCGCAATTCTTGACATGATGAAGCCAAAATCAAACCTTCTTTTGGTTAAATGCCAAACAGTATGTGTGTTGAAGATGTATAAAACACAGTAAAGCACAGTGGTGATGGAATCGTGCATCTGAACAGCCAAATTCAGATAGTTTCACCTGGAAGAAATGTGCGTATGTGGTACTAAGTTAGATATGCATCAGATAGTTTTCAAAGCATCTGCAGTCTGAAGGGCCATATCACATTTTATCCGACTCTCACACCATTAACATGAGAGATTAATTTTAATTCTGCACTGAAGAAGCCAGATGCATTACATTCAGACGTAAGCGATGGCTGAAGCTGAACAATTTTACTTGTTAGAATGGCCCAGTCTCCACATGTGCAAAACTGACAAACCTCAAAAATTCCCAGCAAGCAATTTCTGCCAAGTCTTCACAATTATGTGTTCCTGGTCTGTCTCCCAAAATTTCAATCAAAGACATAATTCATAATTGCAATCTGACAAAAGTTTGAGATATGTGTGCTTATACTGTATGCAACAAGCTAAAAAAAATTGGTGTTGAAAATGTAATTTTAATCCATGCCTAGTTTATTCAATTTAAGATGATACTTTAAATTCTAAAGCCTAAATAAATGGGTTCAAAACATAACTAGCAAGAAGTGTAAAATGGGATAGAAAACATATCTGTTTCAAAACACGAAAAGTCTGTAAAATGGGTTTAGAAAAGCGTGCAGCATAATTTGTGAGGTGGTTTGTTGACTTGTAGGGCGTATTACTCTGAGAAAGTGCAGCTGCAGTCCTTGCTACATCTTCATATTCGGCTCATTAGCCACTGCCCTGCCGAGGCTTTGCAAAACTCATGCAAAGCAGTCTTGCAAGGAAACAGAAAAATAGAGGCCATTCCATAATATTAGGCTTCATCCTCTGCCTCGAAGCAACACGTTCACACGTGTTTTTGCATCTTTATAAATGTAGTTCCAAATCATGGACTTGGAAAAAGCACTGCAATGCAGGGACACTTTTATCTCTCAGACACAGAAATCAGAGGGATGCTTCACAAAACAAACTCTTCCATAACCAATCATTTTCACCGTAAACATTCATTAAGCCATAACACTGGGAAGAAACGGAGCAATTCTGAAATAAAAATAATGTGCATCACAATAAAGAAAATAGCTTTGTGGCGTGTTGGCGTAACGACTTTTGGAGCCAGCGAAAGAGCATGATGGGACAAACATCAAAGTTTAAGATGAGCTGCAAAAAGCCTGCATACAATCACAGGGAATGTTTTCTTTCCCCCCCGTCTTTCAAGAGAACTTCATCTAATGAAGCTTCTTGCTGAACCTTCATTTGCCAAGATATCCATATTAACATATTCTGGTTTGAACAATCAAAGTTTTGATACCCTAAATAAATATTGCTTTTGTTGGTACTCTTTACATCTCTGCAGTTTCTCTGAAAACTTTCCATAAATCTCTGAATATAAGTCAACATCCACGAAGCTGAGAAGTTCATACGTCTGTGGGCTAATTAAAGAGTTAATATGCAGTGATGTCTTTCTCTTCAGGGAAGTCGGCTTAACTCTTTCTTTTTACATGGGTAAAATAAAAATAAAAAAACAACTTAAAGACAGTGGATGATTATTTCTACAGAACACTGTTTGTGTTAAAGGGGAATCATGAACTCTACAGTGTTTGTAGTCAATTTATTTTTCAATTTAAAAAATTCACATATCATTGAGAGATGGATCAGAAAACAGATTCAACACTGAAAACTTGAAAGTTCCCATGTGGCTTTTGCTAAAATATATTTTAATGCACTTAAGGGTTGTGATTGTGTAGGATTACCTCACTTACGGCTTTTAAATCGCTTCGTATTCTTGCTAACAAAGTTGCAGAACACAATTGTCGTCTTCCAAAAAAGCTAATTTAATCTAGGCATTAAAGGCCTAGAGTTTCTTTCATTATTAGACCCTCAAATTACCTCGTCTCTTCAGACCTACCTGACGTTTCGACAGCATACTTCCGTCTTCGTCAGCGGTGTCACAGCTGTTGCTCTCCGGATTTACACCGAGGCGGCGTAAACCCATCAACA